CCTTTTTTTTTTTTTTTAACATACTCGCCGTAACGAAACGGCAACCATCCGTTGCTCGTCGACTTATTTATCCTGGAAATTCAGATTTCCTTCAGACACCTTCGAATTTCGAATTGCAGCTCAATTCTCGAGTTCGAGTTGCGTAAACGAACAGCAAACTATTCCGTTGCGCGGATATGCATTTTCTTCCTACCGCTAAACAGTTTATTTAGCAAAGAAATATTAATAGTAATAATTACGATAACAAACGGACGAGGAAAATGAAAAGAGAAAAAGGAGAAAAAGAGCGAAGCGACATCAGGTTTTCCATTTCTTTTGCATTAAAGCAATACGATATTGTTTCGTAATTGATCTCAATACTAAGCAAGTGCGAGGCAAAAGTGAAAGAATAAAGAAAAGGTCAAGTTTTAAAACAATGGGTTATCTCTAGCGTCCAAGAGAAACGCGACTTTTGTTAAAAGAGAAGAAAGGGGGGAAAAAGAAAAAGAAGATGTCGAAGATTTAAAACGAACAAGACTCGAACGGTTTGTTCCATATTTTTATATGCGATATTATCTTATCGCAATTGATGTAGTACGCTAGTTAGTTAATTTAGTAAAATCATATACAATTTATTTTTTATGGTAATCGCGATTTAACAGAAAATTACCTATTCTTCAAACGTCTTTTTTTTTAACGCAACAATGTTTCACGTCCGATAATACGAATTCGTAAACTTCGAAGTCGTTTTTCCACTACGATCGATGTCATATTTTTGCGAATACCTATTTGTTTTATAACTTGTACGAGAGATACGTAAGCAAACCACAAGAACGGAGCAAACAGTATCCTATATTTAAATACGAGCGTCCTCTTTGTCAAATAATTGTCAGGTAATTGATCGTCTAAATGGTCTCGAATATTGCGTAAACCAGATCATTGTCGAAACTGCGTGCCTTCCTCTTTTCGATGTTATACATTTCATGCGTATTTTTACTATAAAAAAAAAAAAAAAAGAAAAAGAAAACGAGAAAAAGGAAAGAAAAAAGAGAAAAAGAGAACGATGAAACGAATACGAAACCTATGCACTAGTTTTTCAAGCATCGATACAAATTTCACACAGTCCGATGAAAATGCGTAATATGTACATACCGAACGATACGATAACTACCATTACTTACAAAAGAGAGAATAAGAAAGTAAAATAAAGATTTGTAATACGTTGTGGTGTAAGTGAAGAAAGAAAAGGATCGTATGACGAAAATGGGTGCCTGATCGAGCGAACGAGCGAAAGAATGAATGAAGGCCTTGGGTGAATTTAACGATTAAAACTGCCGTAAGTCTTTTTGTTTTGTCACGAATTTTCGTCGATCGAACGAGGTTGCTCGCTGGTATACAAAAGTATCTTTTCGCGCGTTAATTCCAACGTTTTTCTCAAATCAAAAAAACAGTTCATCGCGACTAATCATCGACCGAAAATTTCTTTTATTATTCTTTTATTATAGTTACTCTACCTAACTTGGTAATCTTCGATGTCATACGACGCGCGTTCGTATAGAATCGAAAGAAAACGTTGGGTTTCATTGAAAAATTCTTTAGATTCCGGCGATGGAAAGGAAAAATTGATAACGTATTCCCAAGATCTCCGAGTAGATTGCTAGTTTACGCGCACGGGAGAAAGATACAGGAAATGGAATTTAAGCATCTCGAATTTGTCGTGTATATTGTAATACGTATAAAGATAGAGGAGGGATAAAGGAAAAGAGAAATGACACCAACAACGCAAGATTTTATACGCAAGATTTACCAATATAGCACATCTGTAAATGATATTAAATGCTCTTTGCTGCACTCCAGCTCTCATCCAACTGTTCAAACGTCTGGCATTTTTCTTTTCTCTTTTTTTCTTTTTTCTTGATTTTTCCCCCCCTTTCGTCGATGGATCTTTGACCGAGAACCGATCATTTTCATGGATCTATCTGAAAGGCGATTACTTTAGATCTTTACGATACGGAGGGCAGTAAATAGCTAATAGAAAGTGAATAGAAATATTATTTAAAATAATTTTAAGAAGCAATAATAGTAATAATTTCATATTAATAAATATGTTAAAACTGCCTTATACATGTGTTGTATCAATTTATTTCTCAATCCTCTATTCAAAAGCAATTCGATTATTCTACGTGTGCGTTGTACGATATATTGTTTTTGTTAAAAGCGTTGCGTGCAATTAGCTTTAGTTCGAACTGTAGATGCTCGAACGTTTGAGACAGGAAATGGACGTGGACGTATTTTTGTACCATTGACAACATGTATGACCATCGTAGACGAGTAACAAGCACTCGATTAACCTTCGTTTCTATTTATATTGCCCTGAAATGCTAGAAAAAAACGGTAATAAAATTCGTTTGACTCTTTTAATCAATGCTATCTACCGTTAGAACTATCTCTGGTATAACTCGCCAATGTTTGCGATAGGTATGCGATGGTGATAGAAAGAATGGTGGTGCTTAAACGTATGAACTGAATTTGCCTGAATTTGATTTGATGATTTATCATATTTAGTATTTGCAACTACCTTTGTTTTGTTATTTCAGCCCCATGGACCCATCCGTACCTCCCAAGCACCCAGTAGTGAGGTACGTTGCTACATACCATAATACCATGGTCCACACATTCTAATTTCGTATTTTATCCATTTTGTTCTCTTCCGTTGTCTCGTTCTTTCTTTTTATTCTTTCTTTTCTCACCGCTTACTACTTCTTCTCTTTCTTTTTTCTTTTTTTCTCTTTTATTTTTTTTTTTTCTCAAGATTTCGTTCGTTATCGCGAATCATTCGAATCTGTATCTTTACTTGGATTATTCTTTATCGACGCTTAACTGCTATGTAAATCCATACAGTCTCATTACGACGTAGAATAGAGTGACGCCTCTTTCTGTAAAGCAATGTGTTCGTTATTCGAAGAGCAATGTTTCACATGTGTATCGATAGAAAAGCACCGATGTATATACTTGAAGCATACGTATACGATACAGATGCGTTACTTGCCACGCAATAATCGTAATTGCGTACTGTATACCGTGTACCGTATACGAACCAGCCGAACGATCGGCTGGATAGACAGCGATATACATGTCATAGGAACAGAACGTTCCTCGTTCAATTTTTCACATACTCTTTCTTCTTTTCTTTCTCTTTTATCTTACAGCTGTGTGATTATTTTAACTACATTAAAATGTATTAGGTCGGATCGATTATTTTTTTTTCCATATCTGACGATTCGATCGCGAGACGAGCAAGAAAAAAGGAAGAAAGTTTCTGTGTGTAATCGCGCCGCACGCCGATAATTCAAACGATGCGAAACGAAACGAAACGGAATGCAACGGAAGGACAAGGAAAAGAAATCGAACGTTAGAGAACCGCGATACACGCTGTTTCAAATTCGAAATCTTTGACCGTCTTTACGTATAATTGACACGTTTCTCGGGAAAATTGTTAGCTTTTTCTCCTATAGAAGTGTCGGTATGTATGCATGTGTGCACGCATGTCACGTTTTACGTTGCGTCTTTCGAATCATTCAATGATCTACGGCTTACGAAATCTTAATGCACGTGTTCCGCAACTATCGAGATCTCTGTGAACGACGAGACGGGAAATGGGAGACATGGATGCGATACGACACGAGAACGCAGAAAAAGAGCGGTAACGACAGATGAATGTTTGACGATTAATCGATACGTTTCAGTCGCTCGAAAATTTTCGTACGAACAACGCGTAACTCGATCGAGAAAATTTAATCTACAACGTCGAGTTGGACTCGTGATACGCCCTTCGGGGGTCAATCATAAACAACACGAGCATGAAACGTATGTTCTTCGAGCTACATACAGGCGACAAACACTTTTTCTTGGTCGCATTCGGAATTTAAATCGTAGGGCAAGGGGTTAAAACGTTCTTTTGTTACAGCGGAGCAACCACTAACGACGAGCAAGTTAAACCACGCAGTCTACGTTTCACTTGGAGTATGAAAACCACGAGTAGTCGAGATCCGAACGAAATCATGTCCGAAATTCGAAAGGTATTGCAATGGATCGTATATCCTTAAAATATCCTTTTAATATATTTGTTCGTGTGCCTCGTAGAGGAAATAAAGAAAAGAAAGAGTATAACGATGATTGTAGCGCGTTGTCTCGTAGAAACTCTGATATTATAATTTCGAATATCGTAACGACGAGCATAAAGGATTTACTAATGTGTGTCGATCGATTCTCTAGGTGTTGGACGCCAATAAGTGTCAGTACGAGCAACGCGAAAGGTTCCTGCTACTGTGCGCACATGGAGACGCGGCTACAGATAGCCAAGTACAGTGGGAGATAGAAGTCTGTAAACTGCCACGACTTTCTCTGAACGGTGTACGGTTCAAACGGATCTCAGGCACATCGATCGGCTTCAAAAACATTGCTAGCAAAATAGCGAACGAACTCAAGCTGTGACTGCCGACAACAGGCGCTCTATCCACTCGCGCCAACCCATAACGCTCTCGTGATCGATGACGCAAATTCACGGTTACCGACGACTTTCAGTTTTCCTTCTTCTGGGACTTTAACCTCGTCGACGATACTGATACCGACACCGATATCGATACCGATACCGATACCGATACCGATACCGATACCGATACCGATACCGATACCGATACCGATACCGATACCGATACCGATACCGATACCGATACCGATACCGATACCGATACCGATACCGATACCGATACCGATACCGATACCGATACCGATACCGATACCGATACCGATACCGATACCGATACCGATACCGATACCGATACCGATACCGATACCGATACCGATACCGATACCGATACCGATACCGATACCGATACCGATACCGATACCGATACCGATACCGATACCGATACCGATACCGATACCGATACCGATACCGATACCGATACCGATACCGATACCGATACCGATACCGATACCGATACCGATACCGATACCGATACCGATACCGATACCGATACCGATACCGATACCGATACCGATACCGATACCGATACCGATACCGATACCGATACCGATACCGATTCCGATGCCGATGCCGATGCCGATGCCGATGCCGATGCCGATATCGATGCCGATACCGATGCCGATGCCGATACCGATGCCGATGCCGATACCGATGCCGATGCCGATACCGATGCCGATGCCGATACCGATGCCGATGCCGATACCGATGCCGATGCCGATACCGATGCCGATGCCGATACCGATGCCGATGCCGATACCGATGCCGATGCCGATACCGATGCCGATGCCGATACCGATGCCGATGCCGATACCGATGCCGATGCCGATACCGATGCCGATGCCGATACCGATGCCGATGCCGATACCGATGCCGATGCCGATACCGATGCCGATGCCGATACCGATGCCGATGCCGATACCGATGCCGATGCCGATACCGATGCCGATGCCGATACCGATGCCGATGCCGATACCGATGCCGATGCCGATACCGATGCCGATGCCGATACCGATGCCGATGCCGATACCGATGCCGATGCCGATACCGATGCCGATGCCGATACCGATGCCGATGCCGATACCGATGCCGATGCCGATACCGATGCCGATGCCGATGCCGATACCGATACCGACGCCGATGCAGATGCCGACGCCGATACCGATATGGATACCGACACTGACACCGACACCGACATCAACGCCCATACCGATACCAATACCGATATCGATTCCGATTCTGATTCCAGTTCTGGATCCGGTTCTAACCCTCGTTCCGAAACCAATAACCGAGAAATATTCGTTTGAACAATTGCCCGAATTTTGTCCCAGTCGAACAACGAAAGTAACGTCGGCCGAATCAAACTCTCACACTGATCATCGATCTATCAACGCGTTACGTCGTCGTCCTGCTATTTACTCGGAAGCCTCGAAGATACTGTGATCCGTGACCGTTGAACGCGCGCGTATTCAAATACTCCCGAGTGCCAAAACGAAACGAAACAGTCGGTTCTTCGTGAAATCGTTACTGCACGCGGACCGATACAATGACAGGAAGATTGAGAGTGCGAGGAGAATGGAGTGTTTTGCCGATCGGACAACGATGAACGAAAGAATCCAATGGCCACGGAAATGGGAAAGAGGCGAGGCGAAAGGAAGAAGGAAAAAGGAGAAGAGAAATGTCGAATTATCATCGAACGCTACGATCGCGGTAACACGATTTTGACGTTCTTTTCGTTGGTATACAAAGGATAGTTCCTGACAACCTCGATACCTCGAGGGTATCGTACGCATCGTCGTATCGATCGTTCGAGACATGCTCGATCATGCACACGTTACACAGGAGCGGTGGCCTGTCGCGTTAGAACTTGAAACGCTACGCGTTTACAGTATTATATATTGAGAGTTATTTTATCGATGTTACAATACTGTTTCCGATGAAACTGAAAAATTGCCGTTTTGCGTAACTCAGGCCAATCTTATATTCGGTTACATTCTACCGTTTTAGAATTACGCTCGAGCTTTCTTTATTCTCGAATTTCTTTTCTCTTGCCGCTAAATCGTCAGGGCCGAAACTTGTTAATGAAAAACATATTACGTTCTATGTAAACTGTGCCTAACGACGCGTATCGATAGAATTGACAAACTGTCTTCTCTGCGAACAAGGTAGGGAACAAGGGGACGAAGAACCGCATTTTTCGGGGAAAAACGAATGTTCTAGAGCGAGACGTTCGATCGAGCGCGCATTGTGCAGAACATCTACTACGTCGTGAGTCTTTCTTTTCGCAACGTTCACTTTTCAAATTGTTTTATATGTGAAGAGCACTTAAGAAGACAAGCGGTCTCTTTGTACATAATCGATCAAACCATTCGAGTAATCTGTAAAGGAATACGTAGACTTTTACTCGTAACAAAAGCATCTTTACACACTTGTCATTCGTTGAAGGTTGATGGAAATTCAACCATTTCGAAATATTACGCGAATGTATCAACACGTCCGCGCCCAACCATTTATCCTTTCAAATATTTTTACAACACCTTACTTTTTTATCTATATCGTAAGTTTAAAAACTATGCAACATTGTAGGCATCAGCCAAATTAATTAATTAACGCGTTATTATTACTATTATTATTATTATTATTATTAATATTATTATTATTATTATTATTATTATTGTTATTATACATATTTTTATTTTTATTTTTATCAATAATGTACCAATAATATTACGACACAATGTTAAACGTGTCGGAACAAGATAGAGAAAGAGGAGCTACTAATTATCGTAACTTAAGGATTATTATTGATCGAATCCACTCGTATATATCTCGCGCGAGTAACGATGCAAGTAAGTACTTTGCTCCGAAGCGATTCCGGTATACCTAGCAAATATGCACGCGCGCACGACATCGTCGATAACGAGATCTGTTATTTCTACGAAGGATACTATGTAAGATTATATTTAAGTATTGTAATTGGCTATATACTATTACGCTATTTAACCTTTTATTCGCAGATGTATTCGCGGTTGAATGAACTTAAATTAGGAATTATTGTAAATGTAGAGGCGTCTAGAGAGACTTGGTGTATATACATAATATAATATACGAAGGTACTAAATTAACCAAATAAATGAAGCCTCATACACTATGAATGCAAATAAGAAATTTTAAAAACGGCGAAAAAAGGGAAGGAAAAAAAAGAGAAAGGAATAGCGGAGCTGAAAGAGGAAGAGGAGGAGGAGGCAAGGGAAAGAGAAGAAAAGACAAGAAGAATAGTGCAAACAAAGCAAGGAGAACAAAAGAGAGAAAGTTCGAGACTCGAGTAATCGCGCGATCCTTTTATATTTGCCTAAGATTGATCGTCTACATTACACAGCAGGCAATGACTAATTTATTTAAATAAATACAAAACTCGAATGATTTTTTCACGTTTCTAACACGCGTTAAAAAAAAAAACCACACGAACGTGCCTCCAAACGTCGAGCAAAATCTTCGTTTTCGATTCGATGAAAACTCTTCATTGTTCAGCGCATGTTTCTCCGGTGCATGGTTCTTTCGAGTCGCCGGAAACGACCGATAACGACCAAGTATTATTATCAACGATCTGTGACAATGTCGTTCTCGCGTTCGTAGAACGAATTCGCGAAAACTCAGTTTTCGATCTACGATTAACTACTGTGCGTATAGCGTTTAAGTGTAACTTCATCAATATCTTTTCCTTTTATGACCCAAATGAGTTGCAAGCAAATCGTCTTTCGACTAGTCTTCGATGAAGCTTCGTATTTTGAAATATTATTCGTATCGAGAGGCTCGATACGAATAATTATGCTATGTCGGACACGATTTTCGACGAATGATATGTAATACAGCGAACGGAAGATCCTTGTGACACAAGTCGAATCGCTGTCCGAATTACCGATCCGTAAACTCTCCCTTTGTCGATTCCTTTACGTATAAAAAAGAAAAGAAAACAAGAGAAAAGAAATGGACGTGGAAACAAAAGGAACAGATAAAAAGGGAGAAAGAAGAAGTTTGAAGCAATGGCAGACATGGAGAAGTAGAGAAGGAAGTAGTAAACGAAAAAAAGGGAAAAAAAAAGAATGTAGAATCTGTTCGCAATGATCACGCGTGTCAATGAAACAGCACTGTGTATAATTCCAGATGCAATCGTCGTTGTGCAAAAAAGACACGATACTGTAGAAAACTGTATCTTTACCATAGCAATTATGAATTAATGTTACAAAATAAGATCCTTCGGTAGCGTTAATGATATATCCCTGTAAGATGCAAGTAGGCGCGAAAACGGTATTCCACTGTAACGAAATAAATACACATTCGTTCGTGCGTTCGTTCGTGCGTTCGTTCGTGCGTTCGTGCGTTCGTTCGCTCGTTCGTTCGTTCGTTCGTTCATGAGTTCGTTCGTTCATGCGTTCGTTCGTTCGTTCATGCGTTCGTTCGTTCGTGCGTTCGTTCGTGCGTTCGTTCGTGCGTTCGTGCGTTCGTTCGTGCGTGCGTTGGTGCGATCGTGCGATCGTTCGTTCGTTCGTTCGTCCGTGCGTTCGTTCGTTCGTGCGTTCGTTCGTCCGTGCATTCGTTCGTTCGTGCGTTCGTTCGTTCGTTCATTCGCTCGCTCGCTCGCCGCTCGCCGCTCGCCATTCGCTTGCTTCGTCAAATAAATATGTAAATTGATGACCGATGCTTAAAAAGAAGAACTCGAGTTTAAGAGGAATACTAGTGGACAAATAAATCGTAAGATGGAAAAGCTGAACGGATGACACACCAGCGCAGCGATTCGAAACGGCGAGCGCATGGTTCGCTCGTGTCGCGCGTTTACCCTCATCGCGCCGCACCGCGAAACAAAAAGCTTTTGTGATTTTTCTATTATGTAAGTAGTAAAACGATAGAGGGAGAAACGAATACCGAATCTGATCCGGTCCGATCCGGTTCGATTCGATTTGATTTGGTTTGATTCGATACGGTTCGGTTCGGTTCGTCATCCATCCAGTGACATCACTTCGCCCTGCACGCACACATATATACACACACCTACACAACACACGGACAAACATATGCGACATACACGTAACAATTTGTAGATAGGTACGTACATACAGCTTTGCTAAGTGTTTTCTGGTGATCGGTATTTAGCCAACAAAATGTAGCAGAAACATTTATAATAAAATGGTAACACACATTGTTTCCCAATTCCTTTCAAAATTGTACACGCGCAACAGGGTAAATGTTCTATCCTTTTAAACAATTTTTTAACATGCCATAATGTTCTGTGATACGATCGCTCGAACAAGAATGCTAAAAAATGCAAATGGAAAACAAATTCAAGACAAAATTGAAAAACACGTCAATATATATTTCTTTATTTTTATTTATAAATCCGCGTTTTCATTACGAATATCCAAAACCTCGACTTTCTACAAAAATATGTAAAACACTTGTTTCCTGTTCACTGATGTAAAAGGAGAAATGTTAAACAATATATGACTCGAGGCAAAACAGAACATTTCATTTCTCAGAGAATAATAATGTCTATTTCTCACAAACATTTCTCAGAATCGTCATGGAATCCTAGTACCGTAACGTATCCTGTAATGCTCTTCGATAATACTTGCACGATATTTCTGGTTTTTCTTCTAGCTTTACCTATTCGTGTGTTAAGATAGATGGATAGATACGAATAGACAATTCCATGCGATTTTTACTTTAATGCATTAATTACATTAGTCTTTTACTTTTAATTACATTAATCTTCAAATAGAATAACATCTGTCGTCGAACTATTCGAATCTAATCTCATAAATAATTAAATTAGAGCTTTTTCTCGTCGCTATTTTGTCGCCACTTGCCTGTCTGTTCCGTGGCTGAACGAAACATAAACACTAGCAACAATTTTTTAAGTGAACGTACAATGACGGCACGCGCTTGCGGTTTCGTTGTATTTCGACGTGTTCAAGGAATAATCGAATATCTTCTAATGCAAGTATCTTACGGCACGCATCATTGGACCCCACCGAAAGGTTTGTAGTATAATCGTTCGTTCGTTTACTCGTTATTTCAGCACCTAACCTTTTAACAGAGTCGAATCTCTTTTTTGCGGACTATAGGAAACAACGGTACCGTTTCTACGTTTCTATGCATGTGATAGATTCCTATATTTTGTGTGCAGGTCATGTCGATCCTGGTGAATCAGACATGGAAGCCGCGCTACGTGAAACAGAAGAAGAAGCGGGCTTATTGGTTAATGATTTAAATATTTTCGAAAACGTGAAGGAAGAACAAAATTACGAAGCAAATGGGAAACCGAAAATTGTCATTTATTGGTTAGCAGAATTATTAGATCCTGAGAAACCAATTCGATTGTCACACGAACATCAAGCATTTAAATGGCTTCCACTGGAAGAAGCTTGTTCCGTAGCAAAGTATAAAGAAATGCAAAATACATTGAGAAATTTTAACGATTATATATTAAAAAATCTCTCTTAAATAGTAATATAGAGTTTCTACAAATCCTGATTCTATTGTTAAAATTGTTATCTTTTCTTTCAAAATGATATATATACGTATAAGATCTTCCCCGTAATCTCATTTGTAAGTTAATGGTAGTCATGGTGTTCGCAAATTTTTTTTTATACATTTCCTTATATATATAATCCAATCAAAGATAGTGTATTGAAATTTGTTTCTATCGTTTCATTGTCGATTCCCAAGGAATTGTTAACATTTGGCTTAAACATAGTTTTAATTTAATCATTTGTTCGAGTAATCGAATTCGATTTTTCGTGAGACTTCACGCTTTAATGTTGGTACGTATCACATCTATATACTTACTTACTTACTTATCTTATATATCAACTGGTATCAACTTATCAACGCATCGTCTCGCTTGACGTTCTTTTTATTTTTAACTCTTAGTACATAACCTCATTATTTCGATTGGAGCATCTCGTGAATAATAACAAATATGATTAATCCACTTCAAAGGTTATTTTCTTTCTTAAAGTATTGGTACTTTAGATACATGCTTGTTACGGAGTTATACATGGTTGAAGAATGGGAAAGAAACTTCATTAGTATCCTTTTAAAAATCTACACAAAAATATACACGAAACTTCATCAGTGAAAATTTACACGACCACGATATTATAACGTGTAAGTCTATATATTTCAAAAATGTTAACAAAGTATCGTGATGAAACATTTGAAAATTAATATGCTATTCCTATATTATATACAGATATATTTCTGATCACGTTGTTCTTTTCCTTTTTCTGGTTTAATTGTAAAATAATGCTGCCTGTTATACAATACGCATTACACTCAAAAGAAATATTGTCTTAATTCACTGTGTTTACTGTAAGACAATTATACTATGTTGTGTTTTGACTAAAGCAAAAAGAAATTATAACTTATACTAATATTGCATGTTAAACCAATAGTAAATTTCTACGTTCAAAGTTATGTATTAATCTGTTACGTTATTTTAATAAATTAAATTAATCTAATTAACGTTTTACTTTACAAATTAAATTAATTTAATTTATCATATAAAGAAATGCGCTTTTATATATCCAAGACCATGTGTGTTATATGTATAGTAAAATGTTAAGCATTCATTCTCTCTATACGTAATAAAATATTGGCATTTTTCAAAGTGTAATGTGATTGCTGATAATTACTCTGTCAAGGTCAAAGATAATTACATACATTTAGAACATATTCTTGCTATTTTCTGTATTTAATAACAGCAAACATTAACACAGACAGTTTTTCAATACAACCGGCATTTCATATAAATAGACAGAGCAAGAAGATCAAACTTTTCGAAAAATAAAAGTCAACAGGTATATGCTGATATAAAGCACCACAATGGTATTGGATTTCAGATATTTTTAATCCTTTTTAACCATAATTAAAATAATGTATAAACCAAATTATACTTCAAACGAATATCGATTAAATTAAATTACAAATAAATGTTAAAAAAAGACACGATAAGAAAGATTTCAATACTAAATTACATAAAACTTATAATATGCAATATTTTTCAAACTGCTATTTTAATGTATTTACATGGTACTGTTTTTTTTTCTTTTTTCTTATTTTTCAAATAACATATAGATGTATTTGTGATGCAAATGTAAGAGATCATGATAAAATGAAAAATGACAACTACTATGTCAATTATACTAATGTTTCGTTTTATGTAGAATATGCGTATGATTTGTTTGCTAATATGTATTGTGATCTTTCTATTAAGCGCAAAGTGTTCTGCAAACATAATTTTAATCTTTAACATTGTAATATTATAAACAAGGAAGTAGTAGTTCCAAATCGGCCTTTTTGCAAACTCTTAAATTAATTATCCGAAATATTTGCGATCATGGAGATACATATCGAACAAATGTAATTATAATCGGAAATATGCAATATATTACAACGTGAAAACAAAGGACGGATACTACCAGAAAAAATGAAATAGCTTTTTTCAGTTTTATAACATTCACGAAAAATTAATTATAGCTTTTATATATATATATCGATACCCGTGCAGTGATATTAATTCTGCTATTATATATAAGACATATATCACTGTAATAAAGTGATAGATGCGAATGCAAAATCAATAAAATAATGCCTGACAAACTCTATTAAATATGAATACAGAGATTTATATTAAAGGTAAATATGATATGGATCTTCCATCTGATTGTAAATCATTCTCAGTATCTAATCGCCTAACTCGTACTCTTTGCTTGTAGTGATACTCCTTGAGATAACTCTTAAGCGTCTTTGGCAATTGCAACTTATTTATACCATCATATGTCGTCCGTGTAGTAATTACTGCTCGACATAAGTGTTGTAAAGGAAAAGCAAAATTTCGATGAAATGGTATTGTAAGCATAGGTTCAAAGAACATAGAACACGATGGATGCTTATAATGCTCGATCAAACCGCACACCTGGAAAGAGTATATATTACATCGTATACCTCTATTTACATGTACTTTTTCTTATACTTATATTTTTAAAAATTCAATTATATTCCATACCGTTTCTGAAGCATAAACTCCCGGATCGTGCGAATCAAAACTAAATTTATGATTCCATTGTTCGATTCGGGCATGCAGAGATCGTCCATATTTTCGAAAACTAACAGAAAAAATAAATTCTTCCTGGGCCGAGTCACGTAACAAGAATGTACCTTCTTGCTTGCCTTCTAATAAACGTTCAGCTTCGTATCGATCCATTTTACCCCAATAAAAAGAACAAGCCGTAATTGATCTAAGATCTGGCACAAGACAATGAACATAATCAACCTGTGAAAATATATACAAATACGGGTTAATAATCACCAACCTAATTCAAATCAATTATTCCTTCTTTTCTGGTAAAAGTTAATCAATCTACCTGCGTATGCGCTGGCCTCTCGATATTTGGAATTAACGTAAAGTCGATTTGTGATAACGCTGTCAAAGCAGCAGCTTGTATACCGGCATGCGCCTGGAACAAAGCTGCCAAACTGTCTACTGTTATTCCATTTGGATGTACTTGAATTGCCGAAGGATAATTAGGTTTATAACCCGGAGGAGGTTCGACTCCCTCCTCCATTTCTCGTGCACGTTGTAGTCGTGCTCTTTTGTCACAATCCTGTAATGCATACTATTAAGTACTAAGTTTAATACACAAGTTTATTACAGATGCAATAAGACATACTTCCATTGGAAATTCCTCTGGATTGAATCTTGAAAGGTCGATCACAGGGCTGGGAGGAAGCGGTCGTAGCACTGGACTTTGAGGAGCAGACCGACTATTAAATATAACACCAGCTCCCATAGGGTGTTCTTCGGTTCTTCTATAACCAGTGCAAACACAATCTAAACTATTATTTCCTTGACCAGGAATAATATCTGTACTTTTAGAACTTTTATTCTTAGCACAGTTAAATTTTAATACCCAGCTACTTCGTTTCTTTTTCGAAGATAAAATATGAGTACACACTGGACTTTGATCCTTATTACGTTGTTTACCTAATAATATTAAATTTCATATCGATTTATAACACAAATTAATAAAATCCACAACAAACATATAAACATGAGAAAGACAAAAAATATATTTTTTACCTTTTCGTTTTCCAAATGATAATGTTTTAGAAGATCTTCTTAAAGGAGGATTTATAGGACTATCTTCAGAACTACTACTAGTATTACTACCCCCAGAACTACTACAACACGCTTCCTGTTGCTTAAAACATATTTCCTTAGTAATATTTCCATTATTATAAATCTTTTTTGAATCCTGTGTCTCGATTGGTTGACTGTATAAAGTTTCAAATTTAGAATTATGATTATCTAGGTCTAAATTTAAATTATCATTATCCAAACTCCCATCTGTCTTGCATTCTTCGTGAAGAATCAAACTTAAATTCAATAAATTTTCTATATCATCTTGATTCATCATTTCTAATTGCGTTGGCTGGATAACATTAGTACATGTTTCGGAAGACTGCCTTTCACCATCCATTCTAAAAAATTCCCTGAGACTAGCGAAATGCTGTCCCATTATTGAATGGATTGACAGGCATCTTATTGCCCTCAAAAGTATTTCATTTCCATTTCTCCTCTACAGAAATGTTATTAACACTTTTACGTTATACAATATCATTGTATTATTATATCAGATAAATTTGCCAATCGATTCAATCGAAGGAGGTCTCGTTTATCTACAACAAAGTATACTATTTCAAAATCAATTAAAATAGAAGACTCTCTAGTTTTAAAATATTGCAAGTAATTGTTATTTCCCTGTAAAACAATTATTTATTCTTTTTAAAGTAAAATGGCATCAATTTTTAACAAAAGGAGACTTATTTAATACAAACATATATTTCATCTACTTTAGATATGAATTTTAATTACATATACATATTTACCAGCAATATAAAAATCCTATAGCATAATATCTTCACAAAGGCTATAGAAAAGGATTATTCAGACGTTCATAATGAACATTTCTTAATGGCAGCTAGTTGAAACACGTCCAGACAAGTTTTGACAAGATTTCCCTCTTCAATTTAAGCACGTGTGTCGACAAATATTTTTAGTCTTCACCAAAGTACGTATTTCACAATACAATTGAAGACATATCTTAAAATATAACACACTTCTCTCTCAATTAATGTAATGAAAGGAGTAAATTGTCAAAACATCACCTAATGTATCGTCAGCCATTTTCCCCAACTGATTCTCTCTTGTGCATCATTGGTAAGATACAAACTAGATAGCGACTCACGCATTCGACAAAGAAAATATATTTTAGATTCACAAATAAATTATAATATTATACGTCAAATGTCTTATAAGGCTATATTCATTTAATGTTTATAAACGTTCTTGATCATATATCCTAGAAATTGATATAAAGAAAAATGCAATTTACAATGAAATCAAATAAATGAATGTAGATAGAACATTATGGTTAAGTAAGTGAAATAGCATTTTTTCCATTATTGACAGATCTTTATGAGATCACTCTTATCAACTTGTGACAAAATGATAACAGCAAAGTTTTGTGTAAATCGAATATTATTGAAATAAAGGAAACTGTGCTTTTTCAAGTGAAATAATTGAATTTAACAATGGAAATTAATAAAAAGTACACAGTATTAGTAACCGGATTTGGTCCATTTGATAATCATATCGTTAACGCTAGCTGGGAAGCTGCAAAGGAATTAAATAAACTATGCATTAACTCGAAAGAGTTGATGGATGTTGAAGTAATCGTAAAAGAGATTCCAGTTTCGTATGAAGATGTAACTAAATATGTACCAAAGTTTTGGCAAGAGTATAAACCTATAGTAAATTTTGATTTGTAATCAAGTTACACCTTACCACTCGAATAGCAACTTTCTATTTTCCCTTTCTTTTTTGTTAGGTGGTTCTACATTTAGGAGTAAGTCGCCAAGCACGATGTTTAACTATAGAATGTCGTGCTCATAGTAATGGTTACTTAAGAAAAGATATATTTAACAAATGTCCAGACGAAAGTAATATTGAATCAGAAATTTTTGAAACTAAAATCAATGCCAAACAAATTTGTAACATAATTAATGAAAGTTCAGACAAAACAAAATGCAATGCTTGTATTTCATACAATGCAGGAAGATATTTATGTGAATACATATTTTATAAATCTCTACAGATTGCACCTAAAAAAACACTATTTGTTCATGTTCCAGATTTCAATCAGTATTCAAGTGTACAAAGTGCAAAAGGTTTATATGAAATTTTATATTATATTATCGAGGATATGAAAAAACAATAGACAATAAGCTTTGTAATATAAAAATTATAATTGTATGTGTGTATCTCCAAAGTATTTAATAAATCACTATTTAAAATACTAAACTTATTCTTAATGTAAAAAAATGATTGTTATTTTATATAAATATATATATATATATATATGTCACAGATATGTTGTTACTTCATCTACGATCCTCCATGTTGAAATCTAGTACGTGCTGGTGGTATATTGTATCTAAGCTCTAGAAACTCTGGTTTCCTTATCAATGAAGCTACATGACCCATTTGGATTGTACAGTCAGGATTAAGATTTGGAGGTAATAATGTACACTCTCGTTCTAAAATGCAAGCCACTGCTTCTAGAAGTTCTATAAATCCCATTGATGATGCAGCTTTACGTAATCGATTCACCTCCTGCAGAAAGATATAAAAATATTATGAATAAGAATATTCGCAACAATTTTGTGTTGTCTCTTATTACTTTACCTTATAGAAGTTTTGAGTTTTCTCAGGTAACTTTCTTGCATGCCTTAAAATTTTCTGAATATCTGACTGTAACCCGCCTTGACGAATCCAAGAAGGTCCACTTTGAGTATAACTCCTTTTGTCATTTGGCCTAACTGGAAAACTAACAGCAGTACCTTTAGCTGCATCAATAGGACCTAAATTGCTGAAATTACCTAACCAAGGCACAACATCTAAACCTGGTTCTAATACTGTTAACATTAAATTTGACTTTTTTTTTGTATCTGCCCATGAATATATAAATCCATACCATTCACTGTTTAACAAACAGAGAGCTACCATATTTTCAACCTATAGAAAACATCTATTCTATAATTTCTATATAATTAAAAAATATTGAATTTGTTGAAATTTTGTTACCTTTAGTGCTCCATGTAATAACACGCAAAAGGATGGTACTTTTCCTTCATCTCCATTCTCATCCGTATCCGAATCTTCTTCTAAAGATATTCCTTGCATGCTTGGACTCTTTTCTGTGGCTAATGGTAACACTAAATGTCTAGATATAGCACTAGGACTACCAACATCTGCTACCGATATAAATCCACAAATTTCTATGGTTTTTGATATCATTAACCCAGATGTTAATTCAAAATCTGTCTTCTTAGTGTATGGCTGAAATGTAACAACTTTGCTTAAAACCTGAAGTAAGTTTCCTTTACATGTTATTATTTACCATAGGTGCTGGTGAAAGAAGAATGCGAGAACCCAAATTTCCACACTTCAAATATCCTTGAAAAGACACATAATTAGCTTCTGATAATTTCTGAAAACAAGTTGTGACCGAATGTTTTGAAAGTGGAGCTTCAGGCACTAATACTACGCTATCACCACCAGCAAGATCAACTAAACGTTGGTACAGTGGTAAACCAGCGTGTAAACCAGCATCTGACAAAAGATTAAAATTACTTAACATATTTAAGACTACTGAAATATTGCATGATCATATTATAACATACCTTGTTGTGATGCAAGGCATATAACGCTTAATTTTCCTGGATAAGGAAAAGGTAGTGGAAATGGATTTACATCTCTTGTTACATTTAAGGAATTCAAAGAATCACCTAAAGACATCGGTCCTACTCCAGGATTACCATCAGTGATTAACACTACTTGACAAGCAGTAGTATTACCCCATTCTGCCATAATAACATTATTAACACCATGAAGAGCAGTTTCAATACAAGTCTTGTCACATTCTTCGATATTTTGTAATTTTGAACGTATGCTATCATAATCACGAGTGAATGGGCAAATAACTTCGTACAATGAGGAAAACACAACCTAAAGTAAAATGAAAACATACAAGTAATACAAGTAATAAGGAACTATTTATTATTGAGAAAGGACTTACTAAAGCCACAAATTCTAATTTTGAGTTTGCTTGCAAATAATGTAATAATGCATTTATGCCATGTACAGCTAAGTTATGTCTTGTTAATTGTTCAATTTGATTATTTTCACCAGATCCGCTTCCTAATATAGGACGCCTCATTGATAAAGACACATCTAGTGCTATAACTGTTGGCATCTTTATATATTACTAAACAAAAGTTTTAATTTCCTTTATATCAACACAATATTTATCCGCATTTCTTTCGATATTTATCAGCTAAAAAATAACGTAGTCATTATTCGAAAATTTTAGGTTAGAACTTTCAAACGTTGTCTATACATATGTGTGTGTGTACACCGCACACACACGCGCGCGCGCGCGCGCGTATATTACTTCGTAAATATCATTTTCCATTCAACAGTATTTTGTTCTGTTTTGTGTTTTTATGTTATTATTTTATATCTTATAATCTTTTTGTTCAGTCAATTCAGCTTTAATCATTTGTCCTACGATAATACTGCATATTGCGCAATTGTTTTTGTCTTATAACTTATTTTGTCAGATATAAGACAAGCTTTTATCATGATATTTATCTTACAGTAGATGTATGTAATAACAGATTGTACTAGGGATGAGTATGAAGATCGCCAATGCAATGTTAAAAAAGTCAACCAAAATATGCGCACTAAGAATGAAAACCTCTAGCGGTCACCAGCCGAACTCTACGCATATTTCTTCTCCGGTGCTTGGTAGGAGTAACATGCGTATGCACGGCGAGAGGGGAAGTGCATTCGTACCGTCTACCGGAGAAAAATGTGCGCACTGTATAGGGTGGGAGTTGCTGCAAAAGTAGACCTGTCAGATTAGTCTTCAAAACATCCATTGCCGGGAAAAATTATGAATAGAAATTTTTTAGCATAAACTGATTCGGTACATTATTATCAATGAAATTTATGTGTTTGGGACTCTTGTGAAAAGTTGGGCGCCATTGTTAAAAATGCACATGAAGGTGTGAAAGTGATTTTACCGCACCTAAGAAGAAACATAAACATTGAAAGTAAATTGCATTTTGTTATTGATTACAAACATACTGGGGACAGGAGCAATAATCATAATACCAAAAGCAGCTGCAGCCTCCAACAGCAACCAGCAGCAACGATTTTCATGGAAACACATAATACAATGAAAGTAAAAAATGAGATTACTTATTTTAAGCTACTTATACAGAATGTATTTGGAAAGAGTTTCAATAAATCAGAATAATTCTGCAACATTTTACAATCTTGTTATTTATTCTTTTCAGTATCGAATCCCACAAAAACCCACCAAAATTCAAAAAATGAAATCGAAAAATGGCGGAGAACATGCGGAATTTAAAGAGGAAGAAATTTAAGAGGAATTTAAAGATAACACTAAACTCCAAGAATTATCGAAATAGTGTCACCTTCTATAGGATCATATCCTCTTCATACAAAATCGCTTCATAAAGTTCAAAGTTCTGGTCAAAATCTCGAAAATTTCAGTTTCGAAAAATTCCTGGAATATGACGTCATTTTCAAGATGTGGAAATTTCCCCTCTTGTCGTATATACACAGGTTTCTCCCATCAAAAGTACCAACTGCACTAGAGAGAGAAATGTGCGTATAGTTCAGCCGTTTGACCGCTAGAGGCAACAATTCTTGGAACTCATTTTTGGCTGAATGTTTTCCATGCTCATCGGCGACTATCGTATTGAATACGATATTTTCGATTTTGGTGAATCTGAAATGTGTGCGTCATCAGCTGATTGCGTACTATCAGCTACGTGACCAAAAGAAAACAATTCATTGTTAGTGCAACGATCTGTTTATTGTATGTGTTTGTAATTGAATCAACGGCTATCCCAAATAGTGGTGTCAATTATACAATATAAATTGAAATGTACAATTTTAATGTCATTGCATATCTAATCAGTGGAAGAGTTTAACATAAAATGCGTTTATATCTTGTTATATACACGATTATTTCTTTATCTTGCTTTCTATCTGTAAAGTCGTGGCATTCTAGAAATAAACAAATATCTCCCGTTATACTTGGTAATTATTTTTCATTATATGAAGTAATTTCGTAATGCATTATTTTGAACATTGAAATTAATATAATTATTGTATTAAAAGTTCCAGGCGATGGTGGCAGTCAAGTGGAAGCAAAAATCAACAAAACCACAGTGGTACATTATTTATGTGAGAAAGTTTCTACTGAATATTTTAATATCTGGTTAAATTTAGAATTACTTGTACCAGTCATCATAGACTGCTGGGTAATTGTTGTCATATTTTATATTTCTTATACTTTTAATAGTATATAACAAATTATTTATTTATTATGTCTACTGCATCCTAGATTGACAATATGAAATTAACTTATGACAATATTACAAGAACAACAAGAAATCAAGATGGTGTTGATATACGTATACCAGGTTGGGGTGATCCATTTGTTGTTGAATATTTAGATCCAAGTAAAGCTTCTCCTGGTGCATACTTTAAAGACATTGGTAACATGCTAGTGAATCAACTTGGATACGTCAGAAATCATTCTTTACGTGGTGCACCTTATGATTTTAGAAAAGCACCTAGTGTGTATAATTCATTATTAAAATATATATTACATAGTTGTGCTTACATGATATCATTATATTTTAATTTTATCATGATTCAAAAAGAAAATCACTTTTTTAGATGAAAATGAAATGTTTTTCAATAGATTGAAAGATTTGGTTGAAGAAACATATAACAATAATAATCAAGTCCCTGTAACATTACTAGCACACAGTATGGGTGGACCAATGTCACTTATATTCTTACAACGTCAATCTCAAAAGTGGAAAGATAAATACATCAATTGTCTGATTACTCTTTCAGCTGTTTGGGGTGGCAGTGTTAAAGCACTTAAAGTCTTTGCAGTTGGTATGAAGTACGCACAATATGTAGGCATGTCATATATATAAACAATTATACTTTTATTAATCCCCTCTTGTAGGAGATGATTTAGGCGCATACCTTTTACGCCAAAGTATTCTGAAAGATGAACAGATAACTAGTCCTAGCTTAGGATGGTTATTACCATCAAGATTATTCTGGAAAGACACAGAAATATTGGTACAGTCAGAACAAAAGAACTACACATTACTCACATTACAAGATTATCTGATGTAAGATATACTATATACGATAATTAATGAATTATGTAATTATTAGTATTAATAATATTTCAATAGTTTTCTTATGTTATTAAAAATGATATTTATTAAATCTTGTAGAGATATAAATGTTCCAAATGGTTGGGAATTTAGGAAAGATAATGAAAAATATCAATTAGATTTTACTGCTCCAGAGGTTGAGGTTCATTGTTTATATGGAAGTGGCATAGATACAGTAGAAAAGTATGTTAATTCTATCCTTATCATCAGTTTAATAGCAATTTACAAGCTTCCTCGCATGTTTACATATAACTTATTCCTAGGTTATATTATAAGCCTGGTATATCAATAGAAGGAACTCCTCAGTTAATTCCTGGTGATGGTGATGGTACTGTAAATTTAAGAAGTTTAGAGGGTTGTAAGTATTGGCAGGGTAAGCAAAAACGGAAAGTTTATTCTCAAGTCTTCCCTGGTGTAAATCACATGGAAATTCTTAACAATAGTTCTGTATTAAATTATATCAAAATTCTTTTAAAAGTATGATATTATTCAAGGAATTGTGTCTTTAAATATAATTTACAGTGTAATTGCCAAATCAAATAATTAGAAGATGTAATAAATTGTAGAAATACGATAATGATCACGATAAGAAATTACAATTAGAAATAATAATCTTTTGATTATGTGTACATATATACAACTATTAGTATATTTTCCATTAAGTAAATATTAATATTAGAAAAATATAATAACACTCCAGCTTTGTACTCTTGTTTATCTATGGCTAAACAGTTACAAAGATATATTATAGCTTTTATTTATTTTATACTTTTAGACATTGATATTACTTTTGAAATTTTATTCTTCATTATAATATCTATGTAATATGTTAAAAATCTATTAGCATATTTTTCCTATCTTAATATCTCAGGTACAAATTCATTTAGAACATACATTATATGATTTTTCTATTTATAATATAACTTAATTTGTTTACATTTAAATCTTAACAAAGCCTTTGAAAGTACAAATTGTTTACAGCAATATATATTTCTTGTAATAAGTCTCAGATAAAAATAACACACGACAAAGAGAAATGTAACTGAAAATGTATAAACGGAAATAAATAAAATTATAAAATTACATTTTTTATTAGTAACCATTAATTTGTTGTTATACTAAGTTAATTCTTACTTGCAAATTTGAATATATACATACTTGCATCACAGATCGTAAAAATACGATAATAATCTAAACAACAAATATATCTTTCACGTTTAAAAATTCTTTTTTAATGTTTCAAAATATACATGTTACAGATATATTTTTTTGCAAGCACATGTATGCTTTGTCTCTGCCCTTCCTTTCAATCTCAAAGATCTGTTTACATTTCTGACACTGTAAATATATGTGCACAAAAGGTTCATATCGATTTCAAAGAACACAGCATAAAGGCAGCACAGGAATGCTCAATATGTTCCTTATAACACATTCAGAAACAAATTCGTTTAATCACTGATTAATAAGATTACCAACGGTCCTTATCACGTGTATTTTATAATAGTACATCATTATTTCATTATGTTTGTGTGCCCAACAATTTGTTTTATTTACCAAACCAATGGCATATAAATAAAATGGAATTTTGTTTCAAGGACACAGAAATGAATCTATTATCTAAATAGATTATGTTCATTTAATGTCAGTTAAGACCAGATGAAGATCTTAAAAAGGCATACAATCCCAGAGCCAAAATAGTTACTACCGTGATCGTTTTGTAACTTCTGATACGATACGGTATTCTTGGCGCTGATTTTACAATTCTGAGTTGACGTTGCTTTTCTCTTTCTTGACGACTTGCTTCTGCCTTTGCTTTCCATTCTTGTTCTTTACATTTTCGTTTTCGATCGAATTCTCTAACATCGTTACTTATAGATTCAGGTGGATATTCACGATATAAATTTTTTGCTTCAACTAGAAGCGTTTCAAAAGGTAGATCGTCCGGTAACTATAAATAAAAATAATTCTTATGTAAAATAAACAGACTTTAGTGCATTTTTACTTTATTAAACATTACTCACAGTACATAAAACTTTATGCGTGTGACCCATATCAGGTGTAGTATTAAAAATTTCTGTTGCTCTATGTGCTACGATCACAGTACTTAGATAAAGAGGCATCAGTGGGGGACTGCCAAGAAAGTAATCAAATAATCTGTGTAACAGTTTTCTATTTTCCGCATACTTGTGCGCATACCATGTTGTATATTCAGCCAATGCAAAATGCGGAAATAATTCTACACTATAACATAAAATAGATTCAATTTAAAATATCATGTAAAATTTGTATTTATCAAATATATATAATATATGTTTATATTATACAAACTTTTCCAAGTGTTCTAATAAGGTGGGATGCACTCTCTCCAAGAGTGCAAATATGTAAAATAATTCTTGATTCACTTTTTCCATTGTTTTCTCCATAAATCTTTCAAGAAATTCTAAAGAAATGCTTTCAAGTACACGCAAACCTTTTTCTAAGCCCATGACAAGAAGTACAGTTGCTGCTATATCATTATATCCCTGGTAATAACTAAGTACGTATTATTTTATTTTGTATTATCAACATACATATGTCTATAGCAAGCTTTCCCACAATTATAACAATATGGAAATGTTGCATGTGATGTGTAAATGTATATATAATACTAACTTCAACATAGAATGTTTGTGAAGAACCCAACACATTAATTGTGTTAACTGTTCGTGAAAATGATCAATCTCATGTTGTGTAGCATTTTGCGAAATATGGCTGCCACTGCGTGCTACATCCTTTAATATTTGTTGGTAGACCTCATTTGGTATATGACTATGTATAGTTTCTAGTCCAGTTACAGAAAAAGTGGTTTCTTCCGAGAGCCGCAATAGTGTTGGCCACAAAGCTCTTCGTATATCATCTATAGATCATCTTTATGACTACAAGATTTAATTACACGATATAAAATTATTTTCAATAAGGAACCTATATATAAGTGTATGTTTTACTATCTTAAATAAGTTTGTACAATACAATTTTCATTTAGCAAAGGTATAACAACAAATTACATTGTATTATTCATGTAGAGGTTTCTTATTGATAATAATGCATGATCATGTCAATAAAATACCATTAACTAAACCCTCACTGCTGCAACCCAGTAGCTTCAGTTCTCCTAATGTTAGGTTCGGATTGGCGACGCTTCCTCGAATAACACTTATCTTCATCCGTTCTCTATTCGTCAATGGCTCTGTATCACCAAAATTATGTTCTAATAAACTGTTATCGTCCTCGTGATTTAACGCTCCGTTTTGTTTACCTGACAAACTAAAATCTGCGATGTCAGGTATTTGCGGCATAATGTTATCGCACCATGCCTTCGTAGAATCGGACATTCTTACAAGAGGTACATCACTTTTCGTATCAGAAGTTTCTTCTTTTGATACAAAATTTACTGTTTCAATTACATTCCTTCGCCTAACTTTTAGGTTAGGCTTTTCAATAGGATCTGACATCTCCGTAATTGTTTCTGGGATATTGGAATCCAACGATATTTCGTCTTCCTCGGGCTCCATGTTATTCGACATAAATTCATACCAAAAATTTTTTAAAACGATGTGCCATTATACGAAAAATTTACAGAGATCTCCCGGAACTTCTGACAGAACAATGACAATCTGTCAAGAATGACACGCATTGATCACCGTCACTCACTTTTAAGAGAAGTTGCTTATTAATTGAAATTGAGCAGACGCTGACGTGGCTCATCATTTCTCTTGCTTTTATGTTACCACAGATAAGGTATAAAATAGATATATTACATGGCTTGAGTTATCATAAAATCCTTTTAACATTTTAATGTCGCACTTTTAATTTCTAACATAACTGATCTAGTATAAAGTAAGATTACGTATATATAACATATATGTGTAATCCTTGCCTATGACTAGCGTTACCAGATATGTACTCTATGAATACAAGATTCCATGAAACGATTTGATCTTGGACATATCATGGCTTTAGTATGTAGCGCCACTATCGTTCGACCAGTGTACTTCACTTCCCTGTATTCCCCTTAGCCCTCATTTCACTAATAGATACGATGTGATATAACTGTATAAGTACATATTCTTTATCCATAATAATAAACTAAACGAGAGAAATGTTAGAAATATTTTAAATTCACTATTCCCTTTCTGTGAACTTCATTAATCATTACTTCATATTACCTCATATTACATTTATATACGTATTTCAGTAACACTATTTTCATTTGCTGTAGTTAACCTTTTTGAATTTCAAGCAATTTGTATTACTATTTTGCTATTCGTATATCGTATTACATACATAATATAACAATATATTTTTGTATTACATTATTAGTTTAGTCTCTTATAAACTCCACTTTTTGAACTTTGCGCCATTTTCCCTTAATACATCAGTCGAACGATAGCGGCGCTGGCATATATAGTCTCTTTTAATTTGCTTCAACTGCGGTATAGCTGGTTTATGGTAATCATATTTCGTATAAACAGTATATATTATACTAGACTATACATATCAGTGGGCAGAGGGCATATAAACATGTCTCAACAATCATATACCGAAAGCATAGAAGAAACCATCTGAAAATTCAATATAAAAAAAGTAACAAACAATGCAAGAAGGTTCTCGTTCTGCGCATGTATGACATGCTATGAATGTCTTAGACAAAAACAAACATTTGACTCATACAATTATCCTATAATCCTATCCATGCCATCCTTTCTATCCCATTCTTATCCTACCCTGATGGAAAGAATTCACCATCTTCTCGTGGGTCCTACCATACAATGACATTTCTTTACAAATAAGCATAAAATGAGGGAACTTGTAGAAATTTGATTATTGTAAAAGTATTGTTATTGGCCAAGGGTGGATTAGCCAAATTCTGTTGCAGGTATAAATAACGGTATTGACCCTGTAGTAAAATCTTTTGTAGATTTCACCGAAATAATAAATTTAATATCTGTTCGGTTCGGTCAGCCGACCATAAAGCGGACCACGCGGTCCATCTACCTGACACAAGATTTAGCTATTTTATAGAGAAAACTTCAAGAAATATGACAATAACCTTTCGGAATTTTTAAAAACGCAACCTTGAAGTGGAATTTGCAAAATAAAAATTTGTTCATAATTTTTCAACACAATAAACATTTATTCAGAAAAAGCTATTTTTCCGATTTAAACGAAAGTTTACTCAATAGGATAAATAATTTCCGAGATATAAATTAGAACGTACAACACATTTTTCCAAAAATGAACAAAAATCACAAAATCCAAAGGCTTATATTTCTCAAACAGTTTCGAAAGGAGTAAAATGATGACTTAAACCCCCCCTAATTTCATGTGAACAACATCATATCCCATTTTATATAAAATTGCAGGCATCAAAGGAAGAAGTGATCGGTTTAAAGTAAACACCGTTATTATCCTTTCATTTATCTACAATACAAATAACATGTCACTAGTTACTAACTGTACTACTTTCCCCCACTACCTTCAGACCTTTCCCTTTATTCCCTCCACCTGGTAACAACAACACGCTGGCCGTTAACTGTAACGCCATAAGCTACAGCTGCTACAAGCTATAAATGCACTGTGCGCACGTTGACTTCAGTCATTTTGCCTGGAGATCTCCGGTTCAACGCACGTGGGAGTGGGAAAGACGCGCGATTTTTAACGTGAGTGTTACAAAAGCGTGATATATCATCTCGTCATATGGTAGTTGTAATATTAATTAAAGTACAAATAATCTTCTACGACAAGAAAGGACACCAATTCACACAAATAATCGTCGATTAAGAAAAAAAGCAATGGCAGACTCTATGATTGGTAACTGTGATACAAAACCGGCAGATGTACCCTTACCAGATGATGGACTTTCAGCAGCACAACTATTCGCACTCGGCGATGGTCTCACCTATAATGATTTTATTCTTTTACCCGGTTATATCGATTTTACTGCCAATGAGGTTGATTTACTATCGCCATTGACAAAGAAGATTATGATTAAAGCACCGCTAGTATCATCTCCCATGGATACAGTTACAGAATCCGACATGGCTATTGCCATGGCCCTATGTGGAGGAATTGGCATAATACATCATAATTGTACGCCTGAATATCAAGCCAATGAAGTATATAAGGTATACATATACTTTTTAATTTAAACATTTTTGTTTGTCTAGTACAACCGCGAAATTTTTATCGTAACTCACGACTTCCCTCACAGACACATTTGCCATTCATATAAATGGAATGCAGGTTTCATCTCGTCTCTCTGTATCTATGATCTTTTTCGAATTCGATTCGATTTTCGATTTTCGATTCGAATAATAACAATGACAACAATTTTCAATGACAACATATAAATCGACGGTAAATAATTTCCAATCTAACTCCGATTTAAGAGACATAAAATTATTGACATCTTTTTATGTCATTGAATAGTTTTCGATGCGTAAAATCCAAAAATGTAAGTTTTAACTTTAAAAGTCTAACGGTTCGAAAGTTATGCGTTTGTAAAGTTGAATGTTTTAAGTAAAAAGAACAATTTTATGACCCTTGAACTGAAGTTCAGCTATTCCAGTTTTACACCAATGTGTCTAAACCTTTTTTTCAATTTTTATGATTTTAGGTCAAGAAATATAAACATGGTTTCATTAGGGATCCAGTAGTTCTATCACCCAATCACACAGTCAAAGATGTCCTAAATGTGAAAGCTAAATATGGCTTTTCTGGTGTTCCTATTACAAATACAGGAAAAGTTGGAGGTAAACTATTGGGCATTGTAACATCTAGAGATATTGATTTTTTGAAAAATACAACAGATCAACAATGCATAAAATTGGGATCAATAATGACAAAATTAGAGAATCTGATCACTGCAACTGCTGGTGTAACATTACAAGAGGCAAATGTAATTCTTGAGAAGTCTAGAAAAGGAAAACTCCCAATTGTCAATGAGGAAGGGGAATTAGTATCTTTAATGGCAAGAACTGACTTGAAAAAAAATCGTAGTTATCCAAATGCTAGTAAAGATGAGAATAAACAATTGTTGGTTGGTGCTGCTATTGGTACACACAATGCTGATAAACAAAGACTGCAACATCTTACTACAGCTGGTGTTGATGTCATTGTTTTGGATTCTTCTCAAGGCAATTCTAAATATCAAATTGATATGATTAAGTACATTAAATCAGAATATCCAGAATTGCAGGTAATTGCAGGGAATGTTGTAACAACTTTGCAAGCTAAAAATCTTATAGAAGCTGGAGCTGATGCTTTAAGGGTTGGGATGGGTTGTGGATCTATTTGTATTACTCAAGAAGTTATGGCTGTGGGAAGACCTCAAGCAACTGCTGTATATAAAGTTGCAGAATATGCAAGGAAATTTGGTGTACCTATTATAGCTGATGGTGGTATTCAATCTATTGGGCACATTATTAAAAGCTTAAGTTTGGGTGCCAGCACAGTTATGATGGGATCTTTATTAGCTGGTACCTCAGAGGCACCTGGTGAATATTTCTTTAGTGATGGTGTACGTCTAAAGAAATATAGAGGTATGGGCTCCTTAGAAGCTATGAATAGAAAAGATGCACAAGGTTCAGTAATGGATAGGTACTTTCACAATGAGGCGGACAAGTTGAAAATAGCTCAAGGTGTTAGTGGCTCAATAGTTGACAGAGGAACTGTTTTAAAGTTTTTACCCTATCTAATATGTGGCATTAAACATGGATGCCAAGATATCGGTGCAAAGTCTATATCTACCTTAAGATCTATGATGTATAGTGGAGAATTAAAGTTCGAAAGAAGAACACATTCTGCTCAACAAGAAGGAAATGTTCATAGCCTTTTCTCATATGAAAAGAGACTTTTTTAAATAGATAAATATTAAATGAGCACCTTACAAAAAGAGGAGTACCTGCATTTAATTGGATATAACTTGTCAATTTTAACAAATTATATCCTGAATTATATGAACTCATATATTTGCTTGTACCTAAACATAACTATACAAAGATATATGAAACAAATTGTTTTTTAATGATAGACAAGTGAAATTTATTTCACTATCATTTTATATATAATGAAAATAATTTAAGAACCTTTTTTTATAATGTACTTATAAGATACAAATATGTATCTAATACATATACATGTGTAAGAAAAATTGAACGATACATGGGAGGAAGAAAGTTACTGATAATTAATTTTTTTAAAATCCTATAAATGTAGTAATTTACATGATAAATTTTCTCACATTTCTGTGATAACTCAATTTATTACTATGTGTATATACGTACGTGCCATCCTTTAAGTAGATTAATCTGTCTAATTTACATTACAGATATGACTGAATTATTAAACAAGTTATAACTATACATTGTTGTAATATTTTTTTCTTGCTGCATTCTTTGTTTACTACATCCTATGCACTTGATTTAAATCGCTAAAATGTACACTGTTTGGGATTCTTATGAAATCACATTAATATTTTAATGAAAAAAAATTAAGAAGGTATCTGAAAAGTACATAATATCCTTAAAAATCTACAATGCAGCAAGAAAAAGATTCAAGATTTAAATGCCAAACTATGGGGATGCTATTTGAAAGTAATTTAATTGGCTTAATTGTTTATTAGCTGATTATTCATTTCTATCGTAACGCGATAGAAAAGAATCCATTACATTACAATGTTATACTTTATCAGGTATTTTAATATAATTTATCAAAATATATTTTTATGACTCTGATTTAGTATAAGCTATCTCTCAAAAGGAAAGACCTAAATCCAAGTACTTAAGTTAATTGTAAGATAATTTTATAATTCAAAATATACGAATTAAAGACATACAATATAAACTATTTTATTATTATTAGCTGCAAATTTTACACAGGTTGTTATAACAAAATTGTATATTTGAAATAAAGCCACAACTAATGTTAAATGTATCTCGTGTAAGTTATTATCATATAATCCAAATAAATATTTCTATCGAATAAAATAGATCATTAAATACGTATCGCACTCTTTTTATATATAATTCAAAATTTATTCTGCGAATGAAACAAAAACAAAAGCTCGAAAAAGTGTGAAATTTGAAACAATAGTTTCATGTAACGTAAAATGTTTTACACAGAATTTCGAATTACTTACTTAGATGTATCATTATTACCATTAGAAACACAAGAAAATATAGATATTAAATTTCGTTTTAAATTACTTTCGAGATCGCGATAAATAGATTTTTTTGTATTATTTTATAGATAATTGTTACTGCGGAAAAGAAATCGGATCAAAAGATAGAGGAATTTAAATTTAATACTATAATTCAGTCATTAATTGACAATTTGAAGTATTCCAACATATGTACTTGATAATTTGAATACGTAGTTTGGCAAATGTCTGACTTGCGCGTTGTCGAATCGAATGCCCTTATAGAACTCTTCACTTTCTATCCCATTTACAATTGTATGTCGATGGCCCGCCCCGTACTATATAATTTCATATCATTATTAATGTTGTAACTTGTAACAGATTTTTCTGTGGTTGTAATTTTATTTTATGCTCAATACCGATTTACATTGCAAGTGACACAAAGTGCTCATCTACATGAAATATACGATAAAAATTTTCATTGAATGATAGATCTGTATTATATATGGTTTGTGACATAACCTAACGATTATTTACGTCATTTCGACTGTTGTATTAGAGTAATAAGAATAGTATATAAAGAGTGCTGCTGTTTGCGGTCGATAATAAGAGGAGCTTGTAAAATTAATAATTTTATTCAAAAAAAAAGTTATCGAAGTCAAGATAATGGCTTTTATATATAACCTTTTTAAAAGATCTTCTACATTCACATTGAGCATTCTAGCAGCCACCTTTTTCTTCGAACGGGGATTTGATATGATTGGTGATACAATATTCGACAGGCTGAATGAGGGGGTATGTATAAATATACAAATACAAGTAAGAAATATTGTATACTTTAAAAATATATTGATTTTTTGTATAACAAATTGATTAAAATAGTACTAGTTCGATCTAGTTATTTCTCATTGTATAATAAATCTCATGCTCAATCCCATTTAATTTTATGTTTTTGATAAAGCATTCAATAATATATCGTATGCTATTGTAAATTGTATGAATAAAGCTATGTAAAGTAATATAAATTAATATTTCATTTACATAAGTTGAATGCAATTTTAGTAATCCTATAAAAAGCATTACATAACAGGTATATTAGACTTAAAATAAAAAAAAAAAGAAAAGAAAATAAGAGTCAAACAACATGATCTATAATTTTTGTTTCAGAAACTGTGGAAACATATTAAACAACAATATGAAGAACAGTAATGAAAAGTGTTAATAATGTTATGTTAGATGTGTATGTTTGTGTATATCATATAGGTATGCTATTGTATAAATAAAGAGCAATTCGAATAAAATATGATATTAATTTATATTGCTTATAGAAACGATATTTCCTATACCACGGTAGTATAAGTTTGCATGTTAAAAAATGTGAGCGTAACGAAAACGAAACACCTGTACCCAAAACTTTGAGCGTCGATGAGAGACAGGGGAGAAGGGGATACTGGTTACCCCACTCCTTACGAAACAAATCATCACTGACCGTCAATAAAATAAGACTGGTGTGTTCAGTTTTCGTCACACTCTCAGTTGTAGGCTGTAGCAAAGCGTCAATAAAGTAAGTGTACAATATTTTTTATTTATCCTTACAATAACTTATTATCTATATTCGTCTACGTGTATTTGTACGGAAAAAACTTCCTTAAACATTATTGTTGATTTTAGTACTCTCTTTTTTTAGTTATTATTATTTAGTTATTTACTTATTTTAGTTATTCTCTTAGTTAATTTTTGACATTTAACGCGAAATAAAATAATAAATTTCCTTGTTTTCATCCTACGCTCATTCCACAATTTTCTCCTCCTCTCTCCTTTTTCTCCCCTTAAATATCATTTGTGTTTATGTTATTTATTTTTATTATTTATTTACTGCCAAAATAAAAATCATATATATTATTAATATTTTCATATAACTTTTAATTACATAACATAACACAAATTAATTTAAACGTAAACAGTCAGTACTACTTACAGTGGTTCGATAAAGCGACCGGAAAATAAAGTCATGTTTAAAACGGTATCGATAATCATAAAAAGAAATGGTCTGTCCATTTTAACGTCGTTACCCCATGATGACAGAAGCTCATATCCGATTTCTGTAACAGTATTCTACCACTATATTTTTGCGTCTATTTTATAGATGAATCAAATTAAAAAAAAAAGGTTCAAAAACCTGTATCGGTTGCGGCTAGCGTTCCTTCTTCATCTATTTCCAACTTAACATTTTGCAAGATACTAGTCACATGTATCGAACTGTCAGAAATCATTTTGGACAAATTCGTATTGGGTTGAAATATATTCTCGATACCCAACTGAAACGAGAATAATTTTAACACTAATATTTACTTACTAGTAAGTATACTTTGCTTCCCATTAAAAGTAAATTCGGGTACGATAAATACATACGTGTCGTAGCGTGGGCACTAAATTAAGATTATTCTCAATATTGAATTTTGGAAGATGAATAGTAATATCTTGCTTTTTCAAATTTGCTAAGATCGCAGAAACTGGAACAGTAATCAAATCATCGGATAATATCCGAAGGTATGGATCATTTTCTCTAGACCTTGGCATCAAAGTCAACATTGATGTTTTACCATCCTGGGAAATTTATCAATGCATTTGCGTCATTATAATAAAGTATGTGACATTTATTTCGGTGATTGCGTTCGGTGATTTTTGCCTTACCGAGTATGGAATTTCTAAAACATGTGCTTCAATGGAAGGTATATAAGCATATCGATAAATAGATCCATGTTTCATGAAGTACGTGTTTCGACATTCTCCATTAGGAATATAGAAGCATTGTAATTTTGTGTTCGCCTTATCGAACGATTTTAACCAGAGTCCTTTAAAATAGATGACTGAAGTCAAAATGAGACGCGTATCAGGTGGAAGGTCATTTAATAACAAAGCCGAAGAGATCGTATTGTGCGTTACACGACGAACCCATTCGTTGATATGGCGCGCGGTACTTTGCGATTCCATAAAATTTACACTTTCTATATCTCCTTGGTAACGCGATCGTAGAATATTTTTGTAATTATTTGACACGCGTAAATTTTCGTGTATCCACAATCGCGTGGTCAAAGCAATTTCCGTCCCGTTTTCATTTCTCTGAAATTAAAAAGATTTTGTGCCTTTATTCGTAGCAATTCTATATACATATATTTTTATGAACTTCGATATCGTACGTTTAAAGACGCGAGAATACGTTGTGCGAGTTCTCTTCTACGCGACTTTCCTTTCGGTGGTAATCTTAATACCGAAATAATTTCCGATTTCGTATTACCATTCGCACCTTCCATTAACATTGTCAAGATCGTTTTAACACTTGCAGGCGATGATACTAGATTTCCATCTTTATATTTCTTACTTAGAGCCTACGGTGGGAAAAGATTACATCGGATTTAATTTCTTTCGATTATTCGATCCGTGTGATGTCGAGTTCACCTTACCTGTGGAAAGTACATATTGAAAAGATTATTTCGATCTTCGGCATTCAAGCCTGCTTGGGAAATCGAGTCTAAAAATAGTTTTATATTAATAATCGTATGTAGTGTGTTATCTCGTTCATCATGGAAATAGGAAGACAGGAGACCATTATCCGTTACCACTGATAGAAGTTATCGAGGAACCGTATAATGATGTCACGAAACAGGAAGAGATTAAGCGTAATTTTTAAATATACCTAGGAAAAGAACCTTCGTGCAATACGAGTGTAACAGTTGCTATGTTTCATAGACAAATATACATAGTATAGTAAAGTAGTAAAAAGCAGTATAGTAACTGTAAAAAAAAAAGGAAGATGTATTTTATTAACTATTGGTATACAAAGCCGTTTAAGTACTTATTTGTGCGACGATTAGTATAGAAGGAAACGAATGCATAGAATAGTTATTAAATCCTGCTTGTATCTTTACATTACGTTATCTTAAATTAGTATTTAGTTGTAAAGTAAAATTGTTGTTTTAAAACCCATTGTCACGAAAGCCGGGAAGAAGAGATTAACCTGCGTTTGATATCCCTGCGTTAAGCTTGGGCGGTGATTGAGATAAGTATTGTTCCCAGCTAGCGGTACTGCCGGTTGTATCAAGAGGATTCATCATCCTGCCGATATAGATAATCGTTCCTGTGGACTCATCTTCGATGTAGAATAAGAATGGACGATCGGCGTGGAAGATTTCCTCCCCGATTTTATTCCCAATATCAATTTCTAGGAAACAAAGCGGAAAAAGTAACATTTCATATGTATACGTATACGAGAGAGCAAAATAGGAAAATTTACCAGTAGCCACATAAGCCGTAGTGCCATTTTCGTTCACTTCGATTCCAGTTTTTTGTAAAATATCCGACACTTTGAGATTAGTCGAAATTCGTCTGGTTTGAGCTATGCCCGTTAATGTCGCGGTATCATCAAAAATATTGCGAATACCAACCTAATGAAACGAAAACATAAAAGTATTGAAATGAAATAAATGTAAACGAATGAATGGGAAAAGGTGAAGAAAGTGAAAGGAGAAAAGCTACCTCACGGAGAACGGGTTCCATGTGACTGGAAAACTGGTATTTGAACTTAGGAATAGAAACAGCAATGGGCAGATTTTGCATCTGCCATACGTATCGTGTCAACACGAAAGGAGTAACTTCGTTAATAAGGTGTTCTATTCCATCTAATGTTCTATTCCGTGGTAATAGCAAGTACAAGGCAAACTTGCGCCCCTAAAATAAGGTAAAATAAGAAGAAAAAGCGAAAAAGAAAGAGGAAGAACGTACGTCATATGGAATTCGTAGAATTTTGGCGTCTAATTCAGGCGAGATGGCGTAATAAAATCGACCAAATGTATGCATAAAAGGTACGTCTATAGTTCGGTTATCGATCGTATGAAATTTTTCCGTTCGTGTATTTTCCGGAGAAAAATATTTGTGACGCCACGTTCCTTTGAAGAAAAGCGTGTTCATGATCAGCATCAAAGAATTCTTAACGTTGTTTTCTGAAAAAGAAAAACTCGTTTGTCGAAAGTACTTGGTTTTATTGCTGCTTGCTATCGTTGTTTAATTTTTACCATCTTTTATCATTTGATCTATGTTGGCATCGGTAATATTGCTGACCCAATCATTAATCGCTTGCACGAGTGGCTGCGCGTCAGATAAATTCGCGGAAATTACGTCAGTGTCGTAATAGGCTTTCACGGTGGCTTCGTATTTTTGTCGAATCAAAATGTTTGAATCGATGTAAATTCTCGTTCCAATATTCAAAATGTACGCTGGAGGATTGGTCTGTGAGAGATGCGTCAAGTATAATTTTTTAAAGAAAATCTGCGCGTCGTCGTATTTCTTTTTAACGTTGATTTTCACGAAATTCAGATTTCCGGAAAATTACCTGGAGCGATTGTAAAATAGTGGAAAATCTCTTTCGTATAACATTTTCGTTGGCGGGTAATTGCATCGCGGTAGCGAGTTCGTGTGCAGTTTCATCCTGAGCTCCTTCGTACAATAATACCAATACGATTTTTAAGGATATAGGCGAGAGCAACATATTCCCAGAATATTTCTTGCTCATAGTCTACGATAATGCGAATTGAATGTTGTCAAAATAAAACTATATATGCATGCGTATGTATACAATAGATGTGTAATTAAAAGTTGACGCTTATTACTCTAAACAATGCCCAATCGAATATGCTAAAACGTTCTCCTTGATAAGGTATAAAAATCTCATCGTCTTCGTCGCGGTTAACAATTACAGGGTCAGTGCTTGTAGTTCTGTTTGTATCCAAATGAGACGGAGATTTCGTTATCTCTGATTTACATTGTTTTATAGTGAGGGTCACGACAACGATATACGATACCAGCAGATATCCTGAAAGTAAATAATATCGCCGTATGATCGTGAACGATGATCGTGACTTTCAAACATGATCATGGACCGAGCGATCCAATAAAGAAAAAGAAACTTCAAGTTTGAATTAATAAAACCGACCGTGAAAATGTCAAACTAAAGTAAACGTTATCGTTCATCTGCTGCATTGTCCAGAAAAATGTATGTGTACATTTGCAAAATCGTTTAAATTCACTTCTCGATTATGTTTTCACACTCCACAAGAAAAACCAATTATTCTTACCCATTATTCTAGTTATTCCAACGACACGTTTCATGGTTATTCGACTTCAATTTACCGTACAGACAATGCAGTCGAATACTCAATCTATACGAACAATTCCGCGCGATCCACTGTATTCTATTAATACGATTCGCGATGCGCTGATCTCAATCAACTAGCATCCAACGGGTATTCAGAAAACTAAA